GAAAATACTACTCAACTATTGGGAAATATTGGGTAGTCACTTAGACATCATTTGCATATCAAACGAACCTTCCATTAGAAATATATCATATTAACACCGATAAGCATTACGCTCCATTAAAGGGGACACAACCTTGGTTTCTTTAATCCAATTAATTACTCTATAAATATTCCAATTAGTTGATACTTCCAAACAAACTCAATTCATACTCTTGTTACTATAAAACCATTCTCTTGTTACTGTTAACCGAATAGAGATACGACTTTAGTCGAGCAACACACTATAAGAGTAACCTTTTCACACCTATTCCCTATGGGATTCGACCCCAACCTTGTTGGGTTATTATATTTGACACCGACCGCCTTACACTATTTATTAAAGTGTAATTTGATTGTATCAAATTTTGGCGCCGTTGCCGGGGAATACAGTTTTGAAATTACTATTTAGTGTGTACTTTACTTAATGTCTATTTCTATTCCATCACACTTTGCTTGGTGTTGATAGGAAAACATGTCTGAATATGGTGATGATGCGGAGACAGAAATGGGAGAGAATCCTTTCACAGACATCGAGGAGTACATTGAGGATACTAACGCCATTGTACTGCCAGTTGTTAGAGCTGCAACATTTAAAGTGGAACACGGTCTAATTCTGATGCTCAAGGCGAAGGATTTTTCAGAAACTCCACAGATGATGATCCAACACAACACCTTAGGAATTTCTTGGGTGTGTGTGCAATGCACAAACAAAACAACGTCTCTGATGATGCCCTGAGGTTGAGATGCTTCAAGTATTCTCTAGCTGGGGGTGCGAAGAAATGGCTCCAGAATCTGACACCCAACTCTATCCATTCTTGGCCCGAACTTTTCCGGGCGTTTTTGTCCAAGTGGTTCCCTCAGAGCAAAAAGTCTGAGTTATGGGATAAGATTTTCTTCTTCAAGCAGATACAGGAAGAACAATTGCATGAGGCATGGGATCGCTTCAAATTATACTTGGTGAGGTCTCCAAACCATGGTTTTCCGGATTCCATGTTGTTGGAAAATTTTTATATGGGTTTGGATCCCATGAACCAAGCCATCGCCAAGAATGTAGCTGACGGATCTTTCATGGACAAATCATTTGCAAGAGTGACACAAATCCTGGACAAAATGGCAAAGCACAACCAAGCATGGCATTCAGAGGATAGTACAGGAGGAATCTCATATGTCTTTCCTTCCTTGAGCAACTTAATCAAGGAAAATCAAGAGAGAGATCAAGTGATTGCCGGGCTTGCAACAAATGTAAATGTGCTGACAAAGATGTTTACCGAGAATCAGACAAAGAAAGTGAACACAGTGGAAGATATCCAACCCATCTTAGATGAAAATTTTGAGGAAGCAAATTATATCAACAACCTTCAAGGAGGGTATCAAAGGCAACCCTACCATGGTCAAGGGCAACAAAGCCAGTGGAGGCCAAACCCGCAAGGGCAAGGCAACCAACAATGGAGAAATGATCAAGGTAACTCGCATCAAGAAAATTGGAACAACAACAACAACTTTGCAAACCGGAGCTCCAACCTGTATGTTCCCCCAAAAGGTCATTATGCAAATCAAGGGTCGTCAAAGTGAGAAAGCATGCTTGAAAGAGTATTGCAAAACCAAGAAAAGTCTGACGCGTCCATGAGAAACATGACCGAAGTTGTTGGCTCTCACACCGCATCTATCCAAAAGTTAGAGATGCAAATGAGATACCTTTCAAGAGAGAAAAACCCAAAGCAAAAAGGGAAACTTCCTAGTGATGCCATTGCGAACCCGAAGAGTGGTGGAAGTGGCTCAACTTCTCACGTCATGGCAATAACTACTAGAAGTGGGAAGGTTTTACAAGGTGACAATGAGCAAGAGGTTGTTGGGGAAGAAGCCGAGCAAGAAGTTGAAGCAGAAGAGCAAGGGGTTGGAAGTTGAAAGGGTGCTAGAAAAAGAGAAGGTGCAAGAAGTGAACCAAGAAGGGGTGAAGGAAAAGGAGAAGGAGACATCAAAAGCTCCACCTCCTAGTCCTAGACCTCCTCTGCCTTTTCCTCAAAGACTTATTAGAAGGGTTGATGATAGCAAGCTTGAGAAATTCTATGATATTCTAAAGCAATTGTCGGTGAACATTCCATTCTTGGAGGTTTTTCAAGAAATGCCGGGGTTTGCCAAATATTTGAAGGATTTGATCACCAAAAAGAGGACTACAAAGAATGAGGTGGTAAACATGACTCATCGGGTTAGCTCTATTATTGCCACAAGCCCTGTCCAAAAGAAAGAGGACTCGGGAGCATTTACTATTCCATGCACTATCGGGGAGAGTGACTTTGCAAAAGCCCTTTATGACAATGGGGATAGCATCAACTTGATGCCACTTGCCATCTACAAGCAAGCGGGATTAGGGATGCCGAGGCCAACAAGCATGTGGTTACAAATGGCCGATCGATCTATTAAGCGACAGGTAGGAATTGTTAATGATGTGATTGTGAAAGTTGGAAAATTCCATTTGCCCGCCGACTTTGTAATTCTTGACTGTGCTATTGATAAAGAGATCCCTATCATCTTGGGGAGACCATTCCTAGCCACGGGAAGAGCACTCATGGATTCGGAGCGAAATGAAATTAAGTTCCGGGTGAATAATGAAGAAGTCACATTTCAAGCAAGCAAGGGTATGAAATTACCCCATGAGTATGATAGCATTTCAGTGATAGATGTGGTTGATGAGGTTGAAGATGCCGTCGAATTGAAAATGGAAGAACTATGCCTTGGTGAGGCATTGGCAGCTATCTGGGTAAACTTTGATGGTGAGGACATGGATGGGTACATAGAGTCGGTAAATGCATTGGAGGGTCTTGGATCCTATACTTACACTCCGGCAAAGCTTTCTCTTGACTTGGAGAATAGGTCCACACCTCCCTCCAAGCCATCAATCATTGATCCACCACAACTAGAGCTCAAGCCTCTCCCGCCGCACTTAAGGTATAAATTTCTTGGCTCTAATGATACTTTACCCGTAATCGTTTCGTCTTTGCTAAATGATGTGTAGGTAAACCAATTGTTGGAGGTCTTGAAAGAACATAGGCAAGCCATTGGATGGACCATTGCGGACATTCGTGGAATCCCCGCGGGAATTTGTGAACATAAAATCCAATTGGAGAGCGAAACAAAGTCAAGTGTGGAACATCAAAGGCAGTTGAACCCGTCAATGCAAGAGGTAGTAAAGAAGGAGATTATCAAGTGGTTGGATGCCGGGGTAGTTTACCCCATTGCCGACAGTTCGTGGGTGAGCCCAGTACAATGTGTGCCAAAAAAGGGTGGCATGACCGTGATTGAAAATGAGAAGAATGAGCTCATTCTAATGCGAATTGTGACCATATGGCGGGTTTGTATGGACTATCGGAAACTTAACAGTGCTACTTGCAAGGACCACTTCCCTATGCCTTTTATTGATCAAATTCTTGATCGGCTAGCGGGGAGGTCATTTTATTGTTTCTTTGATGGTTACTCCGGCTACAATCAAATCAACATCGCTTTGAAGATCAAGAGAAAACTACGTTCACTTGCCCGTATGGCACTTTTGCTTTTAGCCGGATGCCATTTGGCTTGTGCAATGCTCCGGCCACTTTCCAAAGGTGTATGATGTCCATCTTCTCTGACATGGTTGAGGACTTTCTTGATGTCTTCATGGATGATTTCTCGGTGGTTGGTGATTCGTTTGAGCACTGTCTTAACAATCTTAGACAAGTGCTTAAGCGATGCGAAGGGACCAACCTTGTGCTAAATTGGGAGAAGTGTCACTTCATGGTTGACGAAGGAATTGTGCTTGGACACAAAATTTTAAAGCATGGTATTGAAGTCGAGCGGGCAAAGATTGAGATTATTTCTAAGCTTCCTCCACTGACCTCTGTGAAAGGTGTTAGAAGTTTTCTAGGGCATGCTAGGTTTTACAGGAGCTTCATCAAGGACTTCTCCAAGATTGCTAACCCCATGTGCAAACTCCTCGAAAAAGATGCCAAGTTTGTGTTTGATGAGAACGATCTTAAAGCTTTTGAGGAGTTAAAGAAAAGGCTCACCACGGCACCCATTATTGTCATGCCCGATTGGTCACTTCCTTTCGAGCTCATGTGTGATGCCAGTGGTGTAGCCAATGGAGCAATGCTTGGCCAACGTCACAACAAAGTTCTCCACCCGTTGTACTATCCAAGTAAAAATCTCAATGGGGCACAAATGCACTACACGGTAACTGAGCAAGAGCTTCTTGCTATTGTGTATGCTTTTGAAAAATTCCGGGCTTATTTGTTGGGGTCCAAGGTGGTGGTATACACTGATCATGCGGCTCTTCGATATCTCATGGCAAAGAAGGATGCAAAGCCTCGATTAATTCGATGGGTCTTGTTGTTGCAAGAATTTGACTTCGAAGTCAAAGATCGCAAGGGAACTCAAAATCAAGTGGCAGATCATTTGTCAAGGCTTGAGGAAGCAGGGAGACCACAAGGAGATCTTGAAATCAACGATGCATTCCATGATGAGCACATATTGGCATTATCTAGCACTTTTGCTCCTTGGTATGCCGATATTGCTAACTACTTGGTTAGTGACCTTATCTCGGACGGATTGGAATCTTATCAAAGAAAGAAGTTTTTGAGAGACTGCCGACAATACTATTGCGAGGAACCATACTTGTTCCATGTTTGTGCTGACAATATTATCAGAAGGTGTGTTCCCAAAGAAGAGGTTATGCCAATTCTCAAGGCGTGCCATGACTCACCGATTGGGGGTCATCATGGGGGAGATCGGACGGCGGCTAAAGTTCTTGAATGTGGGTATTATTGGCCTTCCATCTACCATGATGCCAATCAAATGGTCAAGGCTTGCGACCAATGTCAACGACAAGGTTCAATCTCCAAGAGGCATGAAATGTCAATGCACTTTGTGATGGAGATAGAGATCTTTGACGTGTGGGAAATCGACTTCATGGGCCCCTTTGTAAGTTCTTGCGGGATGAAATACATCTTGGTAGCTATGGACTACGTGTCCAAATGGGTTGAAGCAGTTGCCTTACCAAACAATGAGGCAAGGAGTGTGACCGCCTTCTTGAAGAAAAACATATTCACTCAGTTTGGCACTCCTAGAGCCATCCTTAGTGACGGTGGATCTCATTTTTGTAACAAGGCATTCTCGGGGCTGCTTGAGAATTATGGCGTAAAGCACAAGGTGGCCACACCTTATCATCCGCAGTCAAGTGGTCAAGTTGAGGTTTCCAACCGGGAGATCAAGAGCATTCTAGCAAAAACTGTGAACGCAAATAGGACCGACTGGTCAAGAAAGCTAGATGATGCATTGTGGGCATACCGCACGGCCTACAAAACCCCTATTGGTACTTCTCCTTATTGGCTAGTCTTTGGTAAAGCATGTCATCTACCCGTGGAATTGGAACACAAAGCTATGTAGACGTTGAAAAGGCTAAACTTAGAGTGGGCTAAAGCTGCAAATTTGAGGTTAACACAACTCAATGAAATGGAGGAATTCCGGTTCCATGCTTATGAAAGTGCAGCTGTGTACAAAGAACGGATGAAGTTTGTCCATGACAAGAAGATCTTTAAAAGAGATTTCAAGACGGGTGATTTGGTCTTGCTCTTTAACTCAAGGCTCAAATTGTTTCCGGGCAAGCTTAAATCAAAATGGTCCGGTCCATTCAAAGTGGTCAATGCCTCTCCTTATGGAGCGGTGGAATTAGAATCAACAGATAGGTCCCGGACATTCAAGGTAAATGGCCAACGCATCAAGCACTACTTGGGCACTGATGGAGAAAAACATTTGGTGGAGCAGCTGGCTCTCAAAGATGGTCTATGCCTGACCATTGAGTTAAACCAATGGAACATCAACTTTGTCGTGCCGCGGCGTTAAATCAAGCGCTTCATGGGAGGCAACCCATGTGTGGTAACACTCTTTTATTCTATGAATTTTTAGTTTTTGATAGATAGATTTATTTTAGCAATTTAAAGTGTGCGTCAGAGTGCAGGGGGTTCAAAAGATCACAACAATTGGTACGAATGCATAAAAAGTGGAAGAAAAACCACTAGGTGAATTCTGCTACACAAATGCGGTTGAATTTTAGCTATGCGGACCGCACTCTGACCGCAAACCTAAGCAGAGATTTGGGTTAAAATTGTGTTTGAAAATGCGGTGAGGTGGTGCATTATGCGGTTCACATTTAATTTATGCGACTGCATTTTGCACCGCATTCGTCTCCCTTCAGCTTGGTCATTAACCTTATCGCATAACACACATGTGGTCGCACTGTGTGTTATGCGGTGTCCTATCCATCGCAAAATCGACAAGGTAAGTCCGCATAACCCTCTCGTCTCTCACACACTTAAAACAAAACAAAAAGGGGGGGAGTAAAAAGAATAAAGAAAAACAAAACGAAAAAAAGGGGGAAGAACACGAACGGACTTTGAACCAAATCAAGCTCAAATTGTGTGCAACCAAAGGACTCCATTTGTCACACTCATTGTCCCAATCATCAAACTCTGCTGGTATGTACCCGTTTCTCCCTCGTTTTATCTTTGATTTCCACTATAGGTTCAGAGATTTTTCATTTA